CCAATTCGCTTCTACCACGAACGCGTAGATTCACGCAACTCTTCATTCCTATAGTACTCTCATTCTTCATAGCAATTAACACGCATTGCATCTCGAAATCGTAATCAAGACACGGTTCGTTTGGTTGAAATGAACATTCTTGAAATAGAATATCATTCGGTTCAATTTCTCCGCTTACTGTCTGCATAGTGAGTTCATTTGGTATTTGGAAAAACGTGTATCTATAAATATAGCAATACATCCGCGTATTTCAGTTTCTTATATAATTATAGACAGTATTAACTTAACGAAAAATTGAGTGATTAAAAAGAATGTTCTTTTCTTAATTCTTTAAACATATTTATAGACATTCCCATTGATCTACTTGATTTTATGCCGTGTGACGTTCCGAATTCCGAGTTTCTTAAACTGCTGACAACGTGGATACACTGATGCGAAATTTAAAACATTGCCATTCAAGAATATTATATTCGCGTATTCCGCATATCCTTTAAAATCAATGTAACACGCATTCTCGACGTTTCCGTTAAAATATACGGTCCATCGTTCTAGGTAAATTTGTTCGTTTTTCATTTTCGGCGACATTTTTACCGCAATTACTTGATAATTTCTACAATTTAAAATGATAATAATTTCAGCTAACGTCTCAATATCCAATGCAATTATCTGTGTAAAGTAAATTTCATTAGCATTTTAATGACCGTTGTATTAACGCTTTTATACCGACCGATGTAACAGAGTGTTTCTGGAGATCATTAAAAAGAAATTTATATGTAAGGGCTATAATCATTATGGAAGATAATAACCAGCTAAATGCGCCATTACGTGATACCGGTCTGCTGATTCAATGACATCACGTGTACATAACAACGATCATGAAAGTAATAAATCTATCAAAAATTTTAATATGTCCTGTTATGTAACTGTATTAATAAATAGCATGATACAATCAGTATACCGATGAATCATCCCAAGCATTGGCTTCAAAGAGAAACGAGACTCCGGTGGTGGAACGAATTGGAACATCATGGGTAAATGACCGAACCTCCTGATCACGAACGTCGTGTAGACCGGAAACGGTGGCACGCACGGTGGCATTATTACAGTTTGAGGTATTTCATATTGCGGAATCCATCCATTCGACGTAGTGGGAAACGAATGACCTACAAATTGCTGTAATTAATGCGAATTCAATCAAATTTACCGTAACTCCTATGTCAAGTAAATGCATTGCATTTTAATCTCTTCCAAGATTCAAACTTTAATTTTAATCTCTTCCAAGATTCAAACTTTAATTTTAATCTCTTCCAAGATTCAAACTTTAATTTTAATCTCTTCCAAGATTCAAACTTCAATTTGAATCTCTTTCAAAATTAAAAAAAAAACAAACCTATCACTTTGATTGTTGCAACAAATGGAAAAACGATGTCCCCTGGATGACTCGTGAAAACGGAGGCGACGATCTCCTGTCCGAATAAATTATTCCTGACGTTTGGATGAAAGGAGAGTTCAAATAGCGCTGATTGATTCCGCGTCACGCGCAGCTCGCTAGGTTTCACGTTAAAAATCCCTTCATCATCTAAGTAGATATTAATATCCGTTAGTTCATGTATCAGGTGTTGCATTCGCAACGCTTTTCCAACCGTTCTGAAGTGGCATATTATTCCATGTGAATCTTTCCATAAGATTATCCTCCAATTTGCAATTTACAAAATGCATTTCAAATCAAATTCGACGCAAATTCAGCGAAACGTCCTTTACATAAGATGACTCACGGAAAATACCCGTGGTTGAATATCTCGTAAATTCTCATATTTGTTGTGAGTCATCCTGAATAGAATACGTTTCGCGAACACTGCGAAGCAATTTGTTCCATTACAGTACTTGTCGAGATAAAAATCACCTTCTGCCCAGGTGACCAATAAATCAGATTGACTGTGATTAGTAAAGCATACTGCTTGCGGTATTCTTTGAATAGTCGTCTCTGTTTCTATTTCGGCGTGACCAAAATCAAAATAATTCTTTGAGAAAGACGCAACTGGAAGGTCACCCGTTGCGTCGACGCTGTCGTTCATGTATTCTGCGAAGCGGTTTTTCTCTCTCAGAGGAAAATTAAAGCGATTTTCGTCTTCCTTTGCACGGGACGAGCTTCGGTATCCGTATAAGTCGATGATGATCGGCTCCTAATTGTTAAACAAAATTTTCTAATTAACACTAGAACTATTAAACAGTCAAATTGATTTTCCGAAATTTTTCTATAGAAATTCCGCCAGTGGTACTATATATTACATAATGAAAATGAAATTAATCCTATAGATATTGTTATTAGGAATTATAAACTACATTATATTTAGGAACTCAATGACTAGTTTCAGTTTCATTTTTCTAATATTTTGTTTAGATTTATTGGATTAAAAAAATATAATTGAGGAGACCGTCACCGAAATCAACGCTGGTAGCGAACGTGTTAAGTGATACCTGATGCAGAATTAAAACCGCCAAACGATAGCTGTAAACTCCATTTTTCGGCGGTGTGAATATAATCGTTACGTATTTACAGGAACGGGAATTGATGCAGCCATATCTCTTATCTAACTTAAATGGCCGATAATTATCATCCAAGGCGAACATGAAGAGGGCCGGTGCCTTTGAATTATTCATAAGTTTAATGCGCCATTTTGGTTCAGGATTCTTGATTGTGCTGATCAAAATGATCTTCGTTGTCGAGCAGGTTACACGGGGTCCTATTTTGGAGCGATGGAAAAATTCGAATGTAATTTAAATCGAGAAGGATAATGATAATGATGATAAATTATTATACGCGCGAGTTACTCAATAGCAATATTCTATTATGCGCACCGATGCAAGTCCCGCGGGTAATCACTTTCGAACAGGTCCCGATGGAGTCCGTTATGGTAAAGTAATCCACGTTCGTCGAGGATGCAACGAACGGACTGTAACGAACCTCGCACACGTATTTCTCTTTCGGCGCCAGCATCCATGTGTAACAACGTAAATGGAAAACGTGGTCCAGTGGGTTTGTAATCGGGTCCCGTTGAACTTGATAAGTCTGTTCATACTGAAATCAATTTCCCCTTGTACTAAAAATATTATCTACAATTTTCACGAAAACAAATCTTTGACAACTAATAAAAAGTCCATCGTTAAACGGGAATAAAAATATTTGTAAGAATTACGAATTTCAAAAATAAATACTGCACGTAAACACTGTTCGTACCGAAATGAACTTCCCCTTACGATAGAAATTTGATTTTCGATGTTAATACATCGATAAACACGTTCGATAATCAATTAGATATATTTCTAAATTAGAATAAAAATATTTGTAAAAATTATATATTGAAAAGATGTTAATATTCTATAAAAATGTATTATTTATAACTGTCAGTAGCGAAACACAAACCGATACTCACACAGGATTCGTTCCATAATTCTATCGTTTTTACCGCCGTTTTACCGACCTCGACTTCGTTGAAATTCAACCGTATCACCTTCCCGCCGTCCGAAGTATTTCCGTCCATTCTAACAGGTCGGCCCTTGTTAATCTTATGTGTGAAAATAATTTTCGTCGCGACGACGTGTATTTTCGTTTTGAAACGCAGAGCACAGAGATCGTCGATCTTAGAAATTACTCTCTCTCTTTCTCTCTCTCTCTCTCTCTCTCTCTCTATCTCTCTCTCCCCCCTTCTTTGTCTTTCCCATGGACATCAGAGCTGCATTCGTTTTGTTTTGATACGTGGATGACGTATCCTCGAAGACGGTGAATCGAACCCGACTATTCCGCGAAAATATCCTACGTCTTCCAATTTTCTTCCCAGCTCTCCCCCTTCGTATCGCGGCGAATCAGTTGGGAATTAATCACTGACTCGATTATTCGTTGATCGACGGTGACGTTAACCGTGTCCTTTATGGCTTTCTGACAGTTCCTGCGAAAATGGCTCGACGGGATGTTCTGCATCTTTTGTGTTTGATGCTCCTCGCGAATAATTACGTGAACTACAGCTCGTGCACCCATTACGGCCGGCAGTACGATAAATGTGAGTTTTCCTTGTCGAATCCAGTCGACGTTTCCCACTCGTCTAGGATATTTCACTTATAACCTCTTCCCTCAGATGGTTTGGAGTCTGAAAAAGTCTGCCACAGGCTTGGCATCAAATCAACCATTGAAATCACTGATCTAGCTGCGGTGGTCTTGCCTAAACACATGTTTGATCGATGGGATGTTCTTCAGAATGTTTATTGCAGGTTCGTCTTCAAGGCAGCTAAAGGGGACGGTTTATTTGGTGTCATTCAAAAAATGTCATTCAGAAGGAATGGTACGCAATGCCTAGATTATGTACAGGTGAGTGCTATGGTTATTTCATTCTGGCATTTTTTTATTGGGTGTTTTTATTATGTTTGCTTAAAATAATTTATCATGGTGGCACTAATAACATTTTTGGGGTTTGATGTATTAGTTTAAGAGGAAGGATAACTATCGAACAGTGAAGTTCTGTGGGTCACTGGATCGCAGTAAAACAAAGTATTATCCAGTACCTGAGCCTGAACAAAGTATGCATCCATCAGGGTCCGTATCGGCAGCAGGGATTTTCGCTGAATTCGATCCAAGCACACGCAAGTCTGGTGGAGAATTGGAAACTGAAATATTCATTTCAAGAAATAAATTAGAGGAAGGAGAATTTCTTGCTCTCAGTATTGTTTATACTCCATATAAAAGTAAATTTGATTAACATATTGCTCTTAAGATAAATTACATTTTAATAATACGTATGTTAATTTAACATATGTGATTTGCAGATTGTAGCAAAGTTGACCCAACCAAATATACATCCATCGATTCGAACATCTGTTTGGAAAATGAATTCTTCTGTGATGGAATTTATAATTGTGTGCCAAATGTTTGTTCGGATGAGGACAAGTGTCCAAACAATGCCAATGAATTCATTAGCACTGGTACTGGTACTAAAGTAACAGTGGGTGCAGTGACTACAATGATTCTGTGTTTTATTATATTCATTATGGGTTTATGGATATGTAAAAGATCGCAGAAGTTATGTTGGTCTCTGGATTGTGCTGATCCAGCAGCATGTTCATCAAGGCCAGGTCCATTGCCACATGAAACAGAAGGAACTGTAAATCCACCAGTCCCTTCAGCGCCAATGTTAGAAGTCGCTGTGACCTCGACCGTTGCTGATAAAGATTTACCACCTAGTTATGATTCATTATTTCCAGAACAAAGTAATCCTGTTAGATCATAATCGTAATCGTAAGTTACTAAATGTAACTAATAGCTATTGACAGCATATTATCTAATGTTTTAATTAGGTACTGCTGTACACTGTGCAGTCTTCATATATACATATATATACATACATATATATATGTATATATATGGTATGAATGAGTGCCTTTTTGAATGGGACAATGATACACAGTTACATATATGAACCTCAGAAAAAGAAACTACTTAAATCTTTCCATTTTTAAACATTTTATACCAACAACTTTTTCCATACACTATCCAATAACTATAATGTTGTAAATTTTTATATTTTCTATTACTGCAATATATTTTAAACATTGTTCTTTATTACTCGAAAATAAATACTCTTTTGTTGTAGTTAAAACACAAATATGCAACTAAAATTATAGGCACAAGAAAAAAAATGTTTATTTTTCGAGGAATGATCACTCAATTAATTACAACGAAATACTATCTCGAGAAGATCCTCGTTTATAGTTAGTAAGTCATTTTTTTTTTTAATATTGGGAGAAGTACAGTATTTAATAAACATAATATTTATACGAGATTGTTTTTAATTTAAAGTTGAGATACTTGCGACACAAGTAACCGAACAAAAATATTGTTTAGTGTCGTAATTTGCATCATGACGATCTGCGCAACAAATATATCCTTATATTGAAGTGTGTATTTATTAAGACATAGCATCTTGACTATGCAGTTTGCAAACACGAAATAATACAGCTTATACATATGTAAGATATTTATAATGTTTTTATACATATATAAGGTATAAAAATTTTATAGTATTATACAACATCTAGGAACATGTGTATATTTTGAAAATTTATTTGTTACGAACCTTTATACACGTATACATGACGAATTTGTGTAAATATTAAATTTGTAATAATAAAATTATAAAAAAATTACCAGTATTTATCACATTCTTAATCTTGCGAGTTTATACCTTCAAACTTTTCCGTTGAGATGTATTTGTGTAACCATAAGCAAGCATTGATAACATTGTCGATTTCCACTGGTCCTGATGCCAAAGGATGATTGTCCTCGTAAAGTAGCAGTCTGTAATGCAATATTTATATTATTTGTATAAGCAATTTTAATTTACAGAAAAGTTAATTATTTAAAACTCACTTTGTCGTGACATTATTTGCTTTAAGACGCTGGTACCACAATTTTCCTTGAGACGGTGGCACACGTAAATCATTTGAACCAATGCACAATAAAGTTGGCGCTCTGACTTTGTTAACGTGAATGATCGGAGAACATTTAAACATTTTCACAAGCATTTCAACTTGTTCTGATTCTGGCATCGGTGTGCTTTCGTCGAAAGGATAATTCACTTCAGCGGCACACCTAGAATTATCAGTGAAAACAAAAACAGAATAAATATTGTAGATACCTTAATTGATTTTTCACATTAATGCACATAAAGCATTGTTTATATTTATGCGTTAGTTATTATTTTGCTGCTTAAGATATCTTGTTCTACGTTTGCCCTTACACATCGTGATGATACTTAATTTTCTCTTCCTTAGTCAAAGCATTGCGACTGTAATATGATTGAAACGACTCAGAACTATGAAAAATCTTTAAAAATATGTTAATATTTTACCAGTCTGGAATATCTGATATCGTGAACATAGCAGCGATGTCAATGACTGGGTTCCGTGCGACAACAACTTTGTACAGGTCCTAAAGAAAAAAATTTATTATATTGTTTGTACAACTACCTTTAAGTTAATTATTCTTCGTTTATCGACTTACTGGATGTTGGCCACTTAGATGGGTTACTAAAAATCCACCATGTGAACCGCCAGTGATTCCTATTTGATCTGGATTCAACCATGGGTATTTTTTTAACGCCTCATTTGTAGCAGTTACACAATCTCTTACATCAACATCTCCAACTTTTCCTTGAAGGTATTCGACGTTCTTAGAACCCATTCCCGTCGAACCACGGTAATTAACTTGTACAACAGCGAAACCTTAAATATAAGTACTTCATTAGTATAAACTTCTGGATAACGATAAGCAAAATTTAACATTCACCTGATAATACAAATAGATAGTAATCTAGTGCAAATTGGTTTGCATAATTAGAATGAGGTCCACCATGGGCTGCAATAATCAACGGTACAGATTTATTGTCCCCACTCTTCGGTCCGAAATAGATGAAATTGAAATGTTCTAAAATGTTCAAATAGTTGCGTTATTAGCTAAAGTCAAAATATTGGAGTATCATACTGCTCTATAAATTGAAGTATTAAATTACTTACTAATTTCATCGTCATTATTGTAATCGTAATCACAGATTTCGTACATTAGATTTTCAGAACCAGGGATTGTTTCAGAAGATAGAATTTTATTTTTTGGAATGATACCACTGTCGACCACTTCTGGGTGAAATCTTCCGACTATGAGATCAGAAGGATCTAAAAGAGACGTTTGCGAAAATGCAATAACGTCATCTTTCACGTCCAAAATAGTAAGGCTGCTTTTATCATTCTGGATTTCGGTTATGGTTTTTGCTTCTACAAGTATATATATATTAATCATGACATTCAACAAAATTTAACGAAGGTTATATATACATATACATTTTTATTTCTTACTTATGTCTACGACATAGGAACGTATGTTATTCTGTTGAGGTGTACTCAAGAATATGTATTGTGAATCATTGCTCCAACATCGACGTGGTAAACGACCGTACAAACCATAAAATTGTTTGGAGTTTTTAATAGCTATACTTGTAGGTACAATGTCTACAAGAATACTGGCCTAATACAAAAAGAAGTAGTAAGTTTAGATAAAACAAATATTATCTTAATATATTAATATGCAACTACCTTCTGTTTTTCTGACTGTAAGTCTAAATGCATTAGCCTGTGAGCATTCTGATGTGCACCACCAGCTTCTCTTTCCAACCAAATTAAAAATCTCCCATCTGGGCTAAGTCGAGGACAACGGACAGCACATCCATCACTAGACAGTTTTTCTAGAAAAATATGTGTATGTTTATTATTAAATCATATGCTGATATTTAATGTTAGCAGTATTATTATCATAAAATATTTCTTACTGAACTCTCCATCCTTCCATAAGAATATCCAAGAAAGTCTATTAGTACATGCAATAAGACCTAAATGTCTTGGTTCGTGTTTCCATGCTACACCAATTATTCCTTCATTATCTTTCATCCATAATACTTGACCAGGTGATAATTCATCCGGTATATTTGAAACAGCTGAAATATTGTCTTTCGTAGTATCAAGTACTACAACCACTGGTTTGTGTTTACCTACCAATTGCTCTCCCCAATGAGGCAAATAAACGTACTCATTACCCTGCTCCAAACATTTTATTAAATGATATTAAAAAATCTTACCAGTGTGTTTATACATTGTAAATCAAAATATCTTACCACTGATTCAGTTTCCTCTTTCTTCTCTTCATCTTTTGTATTAAGAGACTTCTGTTTATAGAATGGTTTTGATTTTGGAAGTTTTTTTTCTGCAATATACACGATTTTCTTTTTATCTGGAGACCATTCAAAAGAAGAAAATTCGGCTACAAATAAAAATATAAAACATATCATTCTTTAAGCAATACAGTTGAAACAATATATACTGTGTACGCAAAATTTAATTACAATCTGTGTATACATCTCCATGCACATCTATAGCAGCTAAGTCATAATTCTTAATGAGTTTTTGCTTATCCCAAATTTCAATAAATTGTTTTGTGGTATTGTCCACTGTAGCTTGTCTTAATACAGCTCTCTGTTGTGCATCTTCGGTAAATGCAGATGAAAGTCTTAAATGAAGAACATATTCAAGAATATAAAGAATGTATTTCTACACAATAAATCAAAATTTTTAAATGTAACATACTCCGCTGTGATATCAGTGGGAAAATGTTCAAATAGAAGTCGTAATGTTGAATCTAAAATATAATTTTGAGAAAATTTTTGATTCATTTTCCTTTCTAAATTTCTTTGTGACCATCCACCCATGATTGATATTTCATTTTCTGCAACTCGAAGAATCTTTGCAGAATTTAAGGATGGATTTTGTGCCAATGTTTTATACAGCTTTACAATTTTTTCAATCTATAAAAAGTAATATATATATTATTATACGCTAACCACATTATATAAGAACATAACATAATTTTATTATAAAAAAATATACATGAAATATATTTAAGATGATAAAGTACCTGTGATGATGCCATTTTGAGCAATGTTTATTCCACTGAATCTGCTACTAAAATGCAATGAATCTCATGAAAAAGTGATACAAAATCTTGATAAGAGCTAGAGATTGATAAGATACGTAAATATTACATAAGTGATAATCAAAATTTTAGCACGTTACATTATTATACACTGCTAACGATGATCTAAATATGCACATAATACGTAAAATTACGCGCCTCTTTAGAAGGAGAAAAAATTGTTTTGAAATCAAACCAGGTTATTCTGTACCGTTATTTTTCAATATTAATTTCTTAATTTATATAGCTTGGAATTTTAATTACAAAAATACATTAATCGTATATAAAATAAAATAAAATGTGTAAACAATAAAACTTACTTTCCTTGTTTGATCTTTAAGTATCAGAGGAAAACAATTCGTCCGGTCACATTGAAACAGTAACGAAAATATTTCGTAATATACAAGTTTTTTTTATTCACAGATAAAATTTTACTACACCATTTAAATTATGATTTTACATTTGAACTTATTTCGAAGTTTTCATTCGTTAAATAGCAATTATCAAATTAAAAGAATTCTATTTTTATAATATTTAAATTTGCAACTGTTACGTTGGTGGCACTAAGTGAGGAATGGCGAATGGCGCCATGTTTGGGTGTTAATACTTTCAATGGATGAAATGAAATTCCTTTGATAAAAAATCATTATACATGTTCGTTGTTTTCCAATGTTTTATGAAATAAAAGCAGTAAAATTATAATAGTAAAATCGGTTTTGTTTAAAGCAGTCCTTTATTTTACATCAATTTGTAGTACTTTCATATCACAATATCAATACAATGCTACGGTGACTTCATCTTACCAGTTAAACGAAATCTTGTTAAAAGAAACTGAATTAAACAAATTTATTTACAATTTATAATATTACAGGTGTACTTAAGACACGTTTACGATTTTTCGTATCATGTATATACAGGTTTCAGGACAAATACCACTCATGGCCTTAACCCTTTTAGTGCCGGAGGCCGATATATCGGCTCTTGATGCACTGGCGAGAAGTGCCAGTACCGATATATCGGCCCGTGGCTTGTAGCGCTTTACTATTCGCATTGCAGGAGAACTCTATCTCAAAATAAATTTATAATACGTTATAAATGGTCTAATTTCATTACGAGAGAATTAAAAAAAATAGTTTTTCGTTTTAACTCTTCCGAAATACATAATTGTTATAAGTAATATAAGAGATAATCCGTCCGGCGCTTACCATGTACCTTCGAATTATTTTTTATTTTTATTATGTAATATTATTTATCTTGTTACAAAATATATTGGAAATGCAAAGTATATACTTTGTAATAAATGGTCTATATAAAATTATGATGAAAAGATGACTTTTTGTATGTGCAAATACGTTTTGTAAGAGAGAACTCAACTTTTACTTTCTTTATGATCTTTTATACCTTTGTTATTTATATAATTTTCAATGAATATAGAAAAACTAGTGTTATTGTTTTGTTTGGTTTTTATGAGCATTTTCCCAAACCCTAGTAAAACCGTGAAATTCGGCCGGTTATTCTCGCATAGACACCTTTTTTTCGCCTGGCACTAGAAGGGTTAATATCTTTCATTATGAGAACTCGTCTATGAAAATCCGTATAAAAATAATTTGAAATTATTTTTTTACTTTGATCAAAGATTCGTTTGACTATTTTAAATTATTCCAAATACGAGATGTCATTGATACACAGTATCCTTTACCATTAGACTATAGATATTTATGCATACTTTCAGTTTTATGTTCCGTTTTACTAAAATCGGAGTCAACGAAACATAACTTATCTAATTAACCGATTAAGAGCAAGATAAACACTTCATTCTACTCTTTCTATAAATTCCTTCCTTGACCATGTTTTATAATATTTACACACACCATAAATGCATAAAATCCACAGTCTACTTGTTACACACGTATTATGACCATTTCACTCGAAGAAAAATATATGTATATATACTTCTTCCCTCCGTCTCTCTTTCGATGCATCGTTGCAGTTAGAAATATAAACGTTTGGTAAGAGCCACGAACTTTATAACGTTGTCTATATAATCTTAATCACATAAACGCCGACTAAGCTAACACTCGCGTTTAAAAAGAATTATTGTACGTTTGCGAAGGCTTCAAGTATAACTTTCCAAAATAATACAGTCAAGCGATTCGAGAAAAGGTCATCCCAACTGAAGAAGTACATTAAACTTCATCCTTCCTCTAAGTTCAAATTAACGTATAAATTAATATACACACATATACATATTACGTATTAATTGTACTCATGCGAACATCAGTCGTCTGTTAACACATTGGCTGCCACCATGTTCACGAGTAATCGAAACATCTGAATTCATTGGAAACAATTACAATAGGAAAATTTGTATCGAATAAAATTACTTAATGACGAAAGCAACTAGACAATAATGTAAGAATGGTGATACCAAATCATTAACACGTTGAACGCCGCACGATTTCGCAGAGGAAAATACACAGAATGGAAAAATATGACATTAAATCATTTGATTGAATTGCATTATTACTATTCCACGTTCATCTAGCTGAATGTAGCTGTATTATGTAGCATCGTTTACAATATAGAAATGTTTTCATATAATTGTCGTTTCATTGAGTGAACTATAGCAATTCGATTTGGTCGGGGGTCACCGGTGACCCCCATGACATTCAACGCGTTAATAATAATTTCTAATATCGCTTGTCGTTGCTATGACGGATTAAGTAATAATAGTATAACTGTAATAGTGATAATTATTACTAGTAGTTATTACTGTCAGTAATTATTATTACAATGTAATATGGAAAACGCTGAAAATTCTCGTGGCAGTCAACGCGTTAAAAATGTATTCGTCGCCTGTTAAATACGATCGTTAGAAAATCCAGTATCAAACGCATCTATAAAACTAAACCAATGAACGTCTCCGCGATTATTTGATATTTCACCCATGCCGCGTAAAAGTACAATCGTTAAAAGGTCACGCACGTTCGGCTAACGCTACTTCACTCTTTGCAAAAGACAATTTCCACTCTCTCGCGCCTGTAGATAATACTTGAAACGATTAAACTTAATCTCAATGATCCTTAATATTAACGTAACAGCTACCGGTTGTTGAACTTCGAGTGCACCCTAACGCATCAATTTCCTAAGGACCGTTGATAATAATGCGACTAACCGTAGCCCGAAACACGGTGCATTTTTCAGGAGCCGATAAAATATTCCACGAATTTTTAAACTATCTTAAACTCTCGTACGTTTTTTTTTCAACCAAAATTCAACGCTTTAATGATGCACAATCGCAACGGGAATCAATTTACAACAGCGACTTACAAGTTCATTCGTATACAACGAGAGCAACGAAAACTGTTGTCATCCTTATCGTTAATTTTGTTTGTTTCAATATTAATAACGAACTTCCCTATTATCGTAATCACTGAATTGCGTTTATACAAAGTCAAACATTTCTGGTCAGATCACATACATAGTCACCGCTGTTGGAACTTTCCAGTAAAGTCTTTTGGACAAATTCGATGTAAAAAAATTACAGTTAACAGCAACAATATTAACAATTCGTTAAAGATTCATTGAAGAAACGTTTCCTTTTTAAACAGGTTCGTAAAGATATTGAAATTTAGAAAACACTGAAGTTTATACAGTTTCCGGCTTCTCAGAACAAATGTCCAAAGATCGATATCGAATAAAAATTCATTTCCTTCGCAAATAATCCTAGCGTATTCCAAGTAGTACAAAAGTCGTAGGAAACTCGACGAAGACGCGTATCGGCAACAATTATACATACTTCTACTTTACATTTACCATGAACAATCGTCTATACCATCATAACAAATTTCCTCTCACTTGAGTCGTTCTAAAACAACTTCTAAATCTAGGAATTCGAATAAAGATCCGCAGTTTAATGATAAGAACAAGAAGAGACTTAAAACTAGAACTATCTGATGCGTGAAACTGACCTGTTCCAGAATCTCCGTCGTTTCGCGAATACCGAAACAACGAAGACGTTTTCCTCTATTAAAAATCGCAAAACAAATCTCTCGATTTTCATAGATACAAAAACTAAACGGACTCTTTCTTAACGTTGTAGCTCCAACTAGTTCTAATGGTTATAAAAGTGTTTGTATAACAAACTTAGAAGTAAATCACTCTAATTGCCAGGTATGTAGTTCTAGCGTTAATCTCGCGAATTTGTGAGTCGATGCCTCTAACACTTAAACTAACTCGAGCCGACGGTGTATAAAACAGGGTAACCGATGCAATTCAAGGCAATCGTTCGTAACTCCATTATGGTACAGGATTTCATGAAATTCGAATGAACATTGCAAATAAACCGCTCCAATTGTCAAGTAATTGCTTAGTTCTAACGTACATTTTTCGAATTTGTGAGTCGCTGTCTCTAACAGTTAAACTAACTCGAGCCGACGGTGTATAAAACAGGGTTAACCGATGCAATTCGAGGCAATTCGCTCGTAATTCCGTTATGGTACAGGTCTGTGCTCTAGCGAGAGTCGAACCGCGCAACGGTTTTCCCTTTCAATTGCCGAAGAGGGCTGCTTTCTGCCTGAATTGCGCCCGCCTCGCCGCCTTTTCCTCTTCCTCTCGCTTCCGTTCCTCCTGCTCCATGCGGATCTCGTCCTCGAATTTGCTCGCCTTGCGCAGCTGCTCGATCTGCGGGCGACAGGAGCGAGAAAAAAAGAAAAGGGAACAGGTAAATTCGATGCGCAGGAAGCATTAATTGGCGCGGACACGCTTTCGCGAGCCTTGTAATCCGCTCTGTACGCGCCGCCTATTAGAACCGACCGAGTCATTCATAGTTTCACTCGTTCACAATTTCATTAACACGGTCCGCGGGCTGCCAGAGGATCGGAACCGGCCGACCGCGGGATATTCCTTTTTTTTCTCCCTGTGATTTCGATGCAACGAGCCTAACGAAAGCCATTCGACTAGCATTTCAGCGGCCAGCGACGAGCTTTTCCTTATTTTAATGGGAAATTTCGGATTCCATGCGTAATTCCGCGTGACAGACGGGCACGATTTGAAATTCATGGGTCGTTGCATCCTTTCGATCGCGTTCTGCGATAAGCTCTTCGTTTTAATGGGAAACCTCTAATTCTTTCCCCAGTTTTCTATACTGTTCCTATAGACAACAACACCACTAAAACCGAGCTTTCTTGAAATATTTTTATATAGCTTCTATAGAATTTTATATTTTATTCTTAAGCTTTTAACCCATTTGCACCATAAACGCACATATGCGCGCCACCGTTGTGTAACTTGTATATCACAAGAAAAGGGAAACACATTTTATGAGTGCAATAATTGCCATGGAGGTATATAGGATTTTATCTTTTTATACGTTCCGAACCATTTTTATTTTCATGCGACTGAAACATTTGTGGTGGTGAGGACCAATTTTCCACTTTTTCGTATGATGCAAATGGATTAACGAAGATCTTTCTTCAGTTATTTTATAAAGGTCAATTTGACTATTTCATACATATACTTAACCCTTTGCGAACGATTCTCTGAAATACAATAAAACCTTCAACAGATGAAAAATTATATATCAATGACAGAAAAGAAAGAAATTCCGTACTGATCTGTTGCTGTTTGAGTCATTCAATCGCGACTCTCAGCCTTCCAAATATGAGAATCCGATTTCACCGAAATGTCGTCATTCGTCCGTAAATCGTTAAATTTCTAATTTAAATGCGAAAAGATTTACATTACCTTGGCTTCGAAGAAGTGTTTCGCTCCCGTGACTCCCACCTCGTCAACGTCGACCTCGGTGAGCCGGGCCAGCTGGCCCAACCCAGAATCCTGTTCTAATTCGCCGGCACGTGCCTTGCGGTAGATCAGTAGGAACTGCAACAACCAAGGAAAAACCGTACACGTGGCGGGGACAAGATAAGACGATTTGATTTTACGGGACTGTTATCTCACGCCGAGATTCGCGGTCAGCGACCGTCGTTCTTCCGCTTCCGGTTCAACGCAGATAGATTAAGTACTCCGAGGCTGTCGCCATCGCGAGATATTTTTATTTAACGATTACTCATGGGATAGTTCTGCGTTACTCACTGTTTGCTCTGCTTTATCGTGGCGGTTAACTGAAAATGATGGGGCTCTGTGTATACTGGGTCATTGATCAGTCAAATAAAAATGTTCAATTTCCTTTAATTTACCTTTACAAAATATTGCTCGACGTTAAGGAACGTGTTACACGTTTAACCCTTTGCCCTACGATTTATTTCTCAACTATGATCAACATAGCTACTTTGCCATTAATAGTTTATTGAAAAGAGAGAGAAATTTTAGGTATATTCTATGCCTATGTTTGATTTAAGTTATAATAATTCATAACAAAAGGATAATATTTCATTTGTATTCACAATAATTGACTAATATTTATATTTGTTAAATTCTGTTTGAAATCTTCACCACGAGTCTCACACGTTATTATAAGGCAAGGGGTTAAATATCGAAGTATCGAAGCATTAAATGAATCGCTAAAACGATGAAGCATCGAATAAGTCATTGAAACTTACTAGAATCAGAAAATATCAAGATTGACCGCATTAGCAGAGTGATTCAAATGATACAGGTATTTCAATTTGGAAGCATTGAAGTATTAAATCGAGTATATTGATATTAACACTAGATTTACAGACGTTTATTCTACATTTTATTCTATTGTTCTTAGAAAACTACGCGTCTGTCTATATAAATCGAGAAAATTGAAGCTTCAAAACTAGAGCATTGCAATGCGTATTCGCGTAATTGCACGAATCAAAATCAACTCAAATTATTACTAAATAATGTTTAAAAAGTTCAATATCCGTCAAATTGACGGGTTCCGTAAATCTAGTGTTAAAGCATTTTAAAAAGTATGACAATTAAAAGAACTCATTATGAAAGCTTGTTTACAGTGATTCCTCATTGAAGACCGCTTCGAATGAATCGCCGAAAATTGCTTGACAAAGAGTGTTCAACGGACGGTGTCCATTGTTTATGGAAATCGATTTGCAAGCAACGATCTGTATCGTCGAGGCCTCGGTGACTAATAAAGTAAGAGGACTGTGGAACAGGGTACAAGCGTCACGGTGAATCACGTCGCGATCTACGAAACCGGCGCGGCGCGGCGCGGATCGCGTGCATGCAGATCGAATGCTTTGTTTTCGAACCACGAAAAGTCACGTAGGAATGCACTGGCCATGCATTCACGCCGGGCCTGTCGTCGACTTTCCTCCGATGCGCAGGCATGTCCTTGCATTCGCGATTTTATCCGTCGCGCTCGCTTCCAGCGAAAGTTCCTCGCGGCGCCACGTGAATTCCTCGGATTCTTCGATGTTCAACTCGTTGGTCAGTTAGCTGTGTCCGACGAGTATACTCGTCACGAGGAAATGCCGAGGTTTTGCGTTACGACGAGTATACTCGTCGATACAGCATATTTTTAATGCGTTAACCCTCTGTAGGCCCATGTAACTTTAAAGTCACATATCAGTATATTGGCAACTTGTTGATTTATTTCATTTTGCACTCGAAGTGGTGAGTAAAATTAAGTAATCAGTTAACTTGAACTTTTATACGCTCAGACATGAAAGTTTAACGTCATTGTAACTTGAAAGTTACAAAATATATTCGTTCGATGAAATTATTGAAACTATCGAATACATTGCTAATTCGTAGTCATATGTGGATATTTATTAATTTTTTACTGCATAGATTCTGTTATAATAATGAACAAAAATTCGGCCCATAAAGGGTTAAATGCCGCGTCAGTTACTGACGCTTCTGAATTGCTTGGCAAAAATTATAATACGCAAGATGACTGCTGTCGACTAAAAATATTTAATAATACAAATAAGTTAACAATAGTATAATGTAAGAATTCTGATGTAAAATAATTAATAATTGTTTCTATTTACCTTTGCTATGAAGGAAATGCACGAAAAGTTCCAGATTCCCGTAGCGTTCAACGCGTTAGAATAATCTGCGGAAGGGGGTTGTTTTCAACGAGTCAATGAAATATATTTGAATTTAAATTACAAAATGAATGTTCACATTATTTTCTTCCGCTGATAAGTGGAAATTCGAAGTACATATACGCGACGGCACTCTAAAATCCAGAATTCCATTGAACGGTCCAGTATTCAGTCGACGCAACACCGTCCATATTTGGTATTCCCTTTCGGAATGTATTTTAAGGTCAGTTTCAGCGTACTTTGCGGCGTGCTCCATTAAAATAGAACACCGTAGACCCCCACGAACGTGCCACGAACCGTGGACGGCGAGTAAACAGTGGCCATGGCCGAACAACGCGCGAGATTCACGCTAAACACCCCATGGGGCGAACTATTTTTACGAGGGTTGCAGTGGCACGTGCGTTCTGCCGTTCAACACGCTCGGTGGTAAACCGATGGCAATCCCACGGGGATTAAACAAGTTCCCTAATCCCTTTACGACGGAACATCAATGACACAATTGGCTTCGCAAATGTTCCGGCACTTGTAGCGTGGATGCAAATTTTTGTACACAGAATACGAGATAGTATATCCTTAACCCCTTATGGGTCGAATTTTTGTTCACGATTATAACAAAATCTATGCAGTACAAACTTAATAAATATCCACATATGAATACGAATTAACAATGTATTCAATAGTTTCCATAATTTCATCAAACGAATATATTTCGTAACTTTCAAGTTACAACGACGTTAAACTTTCACGCCTGAGCGTATAAAAGTTGCAGTTAACCGATTACTTTATCTTATTCACCACTCTAAGTGTAAAATGAAATAAATCAACGAGATGCCAATATACTGATATGTGACTTCAAAGTTACATGGGCCCACAGAGGGTTAAATCGAACGATTTCTTGAAAGCTATTTCTATTGGCGAATGCACAATGTTATATTTCTGTTATAATAATACAATTCCGTAAAAGACGAAACTTGTAAAATTTAGTTAGGACTATGACAAAGACATTCTGAAAGGATAAAACGAAATTTAACAAATTTTTTAGGCACTACAAAGAATTTTTGCAAGGATTACGACGTTTAAAAATTATACGTTTCAAAAATGTCGCAAGAACTGTAAGACGTTTACAACACCGTTTCAAAAATTCTATTTTCCAGAGGCAACGGTTCTAATGCTATAGAGGAATGTATCATAAATTACATGCCCACTTCGCTGCGATTCGAGCGTCGAAGGTCTCCAATTGGCGGCGCAAGGGACAAATCGATTTCCTCGGTAGAAAGTGAAACGGAACGGGACAAACCGCACGGCACAAACGCTACTCATCCAGGGGTAGCCCGTAACGAGCATAGGAAAGTGCCCATTGTGGCCGTGGTTTCCGGTAAAGTGGAACAGTTACGCAAACAATAAAAATTGAATTTCCTGTTATTCTGCTTTTTTCTCCGTCGTGTGTCGCTGCGAATCGCGTGGCTCGTCTAATGGACGGTCTTTCATCCCGAAAATGAACGGTAATTAGCGAACAGCGGGTTCTCGGCATTTTTTAAGTACAGACATCGCTGCGCGTAACATGAACAAGAGAAAATTTCACCTTGCTTTTCACTGGTCAACCCTTTGCAATTTGAAGTGTTCTTGCTTTTCCATTTTGCAGCTTGTGTCAACGTAATCTAATTTAATTGAAGGTTAACATTGCACTCATTTGTTCAAGAACATTTGGGAAATGCTGAAGTACGTATACATTTTATATGATACAATCATGATGTTAGGCATGATTATAGTAAAAATTGTTAAAATCATTAGACATCCATCAAAAATCAAAACACTAGACTGCGAAGGGTTGAAGATCCCGTAACAAGGGATTAATTTTCATCGAAATTCTTTATTTCTTCGAATTGTATTAAGATTTGATTTGAAGTTCTCTGTAATTGGTGCAATAACGTGAAGTCGCGTACCTCACGGAAAGAAATGCGTCCATCGCCGTCTTCGTCCACTTCTTGTATCATCGACTTGAGACCGAGGTGGGTCTGCGGCGCCCCCAAAACCTCCATCATCCGTTTCAGCTCGGACAGGTCGAGAAAACCATCGTGGCCATCGTCGAACCTGCAAATAATAGACATTAATCCCGTGATTAATTAACTGGCATTGTTACGTTGTAGCTTCTATTGTTTCATAACTGTTTTGTTGAGGATGATCATGTGCACAATGGAGATTGAATACGATTTGATCGAATAAAATAGATTATTTCAGTCGTTAGTTCAATCAAATGATTAATAATTTGAATATCCGAGTTGCTTCATTTATCGACTTCATTCTCTTTTCCTTTTTAATTAATCCCTTGTCCCATGTCTTTCACGACTATCCTTAATGAGGATACTTCGTTGTTAACACTAGGTTTACGGACATTTATTGTACACTTCATTCTATTATTCCTAAAAGAATTGATGCTCGTTTATTTAGATTGTGGAAACTGGAGATTTGATAGTAGGTAATTAGGGTACATGTCGGTGTGATCGCATCAATCAAAATCGGCGTAAACATTTACAAAATAATATTTCTAAAAACCAATATGCATCAATTTGACGCGTTCCGTAAACCTAGTGTTAATAGTTTCTTACTAAGTGATATCTAGATTTATCAAAATAACGCTCCTCTTCTTTGTAGCGTAATTAGCTCTCTAACAAAAGAGAACGTTTATTATAGGGAAAGTGAATGTTTGCGAACGAGCCGTACGACGACTATCGTTGTTAACGGATTAACCGGATTTTAGGGTTGTTTCGAGCTGATAAGGTTTGTACAAAGAAGAATATCGCCAACGAGTGAGTTTCACGGAAACCGCGAACGACAGGCAGTCGATCGGGCAATAAATTCTGGATCTAGGCTAGATTCCGCGGCGAGATTTTCACGTGGACGGAAATAATCGGTCGGCGGTCGATCGAAGTGGAATCCCGCGATCTTATCTCGCGTGATGCGCGCCGTCGAACCGAGAGCCGTGACGAACGGCGCGCAACACCCTGGAAAGCCGTTGCCTATCGGAATCGTTTACACGGAAAGTCGATTTCACGAGCTTCCGGCTCGCGAACGCCGCGGCGCGCGGTCGCCTGTGGACAAAATCCCGAAATTCGACTGTTCACATCACGAAAATCAAAGATTACTAATGTATTGCTAAGTAGTCGCTGCTATGAAAATAATTTTCATCCGAAAAATAAAGATTTTGCACAAATGAATCTCGTTTCTCTGTTCGTAGATACAAATGATACATTTCTTCTTATTTAACCTGATTTATAACCGAAGGAATGGAAGTATCTGAGGATTATTCTAATCTTGAAAGCCATTTCTTTCATCTGTTAGAATAAATATGTTCTAGATTATTCAAGAAATCGAGAATATTGCTTAAAAGTGTTACAACAGCGAAGGAATCACCTTAAATAACGGAATTGGAATCTGTTGGACTCGGTTCTTTCTTGTTGGACATATTTCAGTACTAATTACAATTGCCGAACTTTAATCGCGGCTACTAGCAGTTTGGTCAGTTATGCGGTTTGAAAGTCATAATTAAGGAAGCACTTTCATTCGGAACGACAGGTTTTCAAGCAGAAATCGGGAAGGATTCGATTATTATTAGAAGATCGGCTCGGTTGTTCGAACTTCGTCGATCTTTGACGCCGCGCGCCGGAGACTTTCGAAATCCCGCGGCTCCCGATTTCGTTCCCACACGTCCGTCCCCGCTCGCCCTCCACTTCCGATCTAATTACATTACACTCCAATTAAAATAACGAGTTACGTGATTAAATAGCTGCCGCGCGGAACACTTTCGTTAGCCTGTGGGATCGATCCGAGCGATTCATCTCCTCCATTCAATCGCTTTCGACGAAGGGAACGCGGTTCTGGACGGTTAACGAGAGGAAATCAGCGAATCGAGGATTTTTTATGTAATTTATGCGACAACGGGGCTGCAGCGATAAAATTAAAGTGTACACTTGTTGTACAAGGTGATAGGGTAACGGTATCGAAAATGGAACACCTGATCCGGAAACCTTGCCGACACGAGAGATACGAATTGTTTCAATGAAACCTGCATTAACACTAGGTTTACGGGCATTTAGTGTACACTTCATTCTATTATTCCTAAAAGAATTGATGCTCGTTTATTTAGATTGTAGAAACTGGAGATTTGATAGTAGGTAATCGGGGTACATGTCACTGTGATCGCATCAATCAAAATCGGCGTAAAAATTCACAAAATAATATTTCTAAAATCCAATATGCGTCAATTTGATGCGTTCCGTAAACCTAGTGTTAACTCTTTGCAGACGAATGTCGGCGTTCTAGCAAGATGAAATTGTTGCATTTGAAAAACCAAGTCGCGAACAAATGATTGAATTAGTCGAACAACAAGAGATCAGCATGTAGTTTCCTTCTTTTCCTGTTAATTAAGCAATTGGTGTATTATTTAGTTTAATCTGCTGAAGGTTTCATATATTTCAAAGAATCTTCGTCCGCAGAGGGTTAAAGTACGAAGAAATTCATAAACATTCGTAGTCTGATCTGTAACAATGCGAAAATTGAAGTGTCATCGAATCACGGTGAAAAATGTAGATAAAATCTGGTCTTCATTTGTGTTATGAATTTTTCTATATATTCCTTCAATTAGGAAAAGTAATGGTTCGTAACGGTTACGTGAATCTTTTTTTTATATATGTCTGAAGTATATTTGTTAAATCATTATTAATTAATTTATTAATTAATTGTTCTACATCTTTATTTCGAGTAAATCCGAACCATCTTCTTTTATTCTGGACTCAGTTTAACCGCTCGCTTTGGAATTCCATCTGGAATTGTGGTAGTCGGAGCTCCATTTTCATCGTTTTCTCTAAGGAAGTGGATTTCAAGCTTCTTATTTTACTTGCAAGTTAAATTAATGTTAATTTAAATATCCTTTTTTCAAGCCGCGGCTTCGAGGGTTGGAAATTAATATCGGAGAACTGTTATCCCATTTCAGTTTAGAAGTATAACGATACACGGTATAATGATGTTCGTGTTTATTAAAGGATTCGATTAAAGAACCTTACGTAACAACATTTAATTAATATTCGCATTGATTGAATTCTGTTGGAGACCTTCGAAACGATGATTGCTCGATATTATTATTTCCTATTGTGACGAGTTAATTGGCGAACCGCGGAAGCCGGTGCGTTTAGAGCCGAGGAAAATGATCGAAGAATGAAGACTCGCTAATTAATTCCACTTCATACCAGATAGACACGACACATTCTCGAATCGCACCGGTATCATCCATCGATCTTTATATCTGAACTATTCGATCGTTTCGACGTTACATCTCCATTTAAGGCGAGGAATTAAAGTAAACGCGGGTTATCAGTTCCTTCTATTTAATCGGAGTGAAGCGAAGAAACTGGAACACCGATTCACAGTGATAACAGCTTTATCAGAGAGAGAATATTCACAAGAAACTTACTCATTAGAGTAGAAACGTGAATACTCGTGAAAGATAAGAAGCAGAATTGCAAATTGCTTTGGATCGCCATTTTCTGGAACATTTTTACATTTGCCTCGAAAATTAAGAATTCATACAGTAACATTGTAACATGGAGATTTGATTAGGATCAACTCTCATCAAATTATATTACACAATCGAAGCAATCTCCCAAACGAAATGGAAACGGTGGAATATTTCCGGCGAGAAACTTTCGTCTGTAAAAGGTTGCATTTATCCAGCAATTCAACCGATACTCTCAAAAATTCGAGGATCTCGCTCGCGTTAATTATTATGCAACAGTGAACACGGAATCTACGACGATCAACAGTTTCCTACATACGTACGTACTTCCCAGTGCATTTTCATTGCAATTTTTCCAATTACTTCGTATCCTTTTTGTGTTTAATCGTGAAACACGGGCCGGGATAATTGTATATGGTTACCATTTAATTTGCGCCGCGCCGATTACACGCCGGAGAATGGTTTTCTAGGGACGAAAGCGGCTCGAAAGCTGGAGATACGGGGAACTGGCCCGTTCCTTGTATTTCAGTGGTACGAATATCGTCGTGACATTTTAATAAAGGTTTGTGGCATTTATCAGCGCGTGTTTTCGTTAATAAAGATCTTTCGGATGCTGTAACGCGAAGATCAAGTAAGTAGATACGATCTCTTTAGAAGTGTTCGTAAATCTTAACCCTTTGCACTCTGATTCTCAGTTACCACTTGATTTGACACATGAAAACTATAAGATATGATATTTAATGTTGAACTTTGTATAACGCCTTCATACGTGAAATATTGGAATAAAATAACATTGCTCCTTGATATACTTATGTTTTCCCTTCGAGTTAATTTCAAAGAATATCGTCTTCGCTTCGTTAAAAAATGTTAAATATTTCTAGTGAGAAATTTTCGAGTGCAAAGGGTTAATAGTCCAAGTATGATTCTAGTGTTTTAATAAAAATGAATAGAATATATTAGAAGGAGGGTTCTTCGAAATATACAAAACCTTCAGCAGATGAAGCTGAATTACATATCGACTGCTTAAACAATGAAAAAAAGGAAACTACGTACTAATCTCTTGCTGTTTCAATAACTAAATCATTTGTTTGTTACTTAGTGCTCCAACTATGAAAATTCGATCTCTCTGTAATGAAAACCAATCAATTGAACTGTTGCTAGTAATTCGTTCGAGCAAAAATGTTTGTAAACGTGTAATGAAATGGATAGAACTGTACTAGGACAAATTTTATTCAGCAAAATTCTTGAAAACATATTACAATAACTGAAGCTAGTAACAATCAACGAAATAGACGAAGTATCGCTACTAATTCGTATTTAACAATGCAAATATCATTGCGAATTTACTGGAAATGACTCAAATCTACGAGAACAAGTTTCATCTAGCAAAATTCTTAGGAATTGGTACAATAGCTACAGCTAGTAAAAGGCCAATGAAACGAACGGAGTACCGCCGACAATTCGCATCGAACAGTGGAAATATCCTTCACGATCCTCCCATAAAACGTGTATCACCCTATAAAACCCGTTGAAAGGTCGCTGCAACGCAGGCAATCAGAGAATCGATGCGCGTTTAAACAAC